CGCTCATTTCAATATGTTCTTTGATCCTTGTCGTAGTGTCCAAACCAGAACCCGTCGTAGGTGGTTTGTTTGCGCTAATCAATTCTGAAACTATAGAATTTCCCTGGCGTTCCTCTACAATCTGAGAAGAATAAACCAGCTGGGAAATTGCATTTATTACGACTATCCTCGTTAGCTATCCATACGCTGATTTTAAGAGTATCATTCCTTTTTTGCGGTACCTGGAGAACTCAGCGCTTCACCTTAAACTTAAAGATCTATCAATCAATGTATCATCGTCCATAGGCGAACTGAAATCGTTCATACCTCGATTTTTGTCCACAGTATATACTGAAATGTCTGATATTTATCTAGTTTTCGAACATGTTAAGAAGTAAAGAATAAAGCGCTTGTTTTTCAGCGATCCCTTATGGGATAAATATTCCACTTTAGACATGGTAGAGGTGATTTAATACATGACTTTTCTGGGCCTGCTGATGTACCAAATAAGTGCTATCTTTGGTTAACAAGATTCGTGCTTCGAACCAGTGGCATATCTTGTACGCCGCTGCCGTACTCAATGCGCTACCTGCATGCTAAGTCATATTGACCGCGAATGGTCTTCTTCCGTTTGGCTCATGACTTTCATGCGAGCATAGATTTGTTCTTAAACTGAATTGGACTATGGCATTCTTGTTGGACGTTATAAAGCCAAGAGAACAAACTTGAAATCCAGCTACAATGATGCTGAGATATTTGAGATATTTGTAAAGCCCAGTCTCCACGCCAGATTCGAAGTCGCGGTTACCCTTACGGGTCTGACGTGATCTGGAGCCTGGCTCTTCCAAATATCTCAGCACCATTGTGGGTGTATTTTACATAATATCCTACTATGAGAAATTAATTGGCGGTAATTAAAAGACTTGAAATTGTCTTTTAGGCGGAAAACGTGAAGTCCGTATCACATCTTTCCTTTCTTTCGTTATGGGTGACATATTTATGTTTTCATGGAGGTGTATCAGAGTGTTACGAAGAACGCCGTGTGTAGTGGCTTGACGTCGAATATTAAAGCACACTATGATTGTCCCAGTTTAAAAGATTTTTCAAGGATGATACTGCTTTAGAGAGATTTTTGATGAAAACTAATTGATCTTGCTAAGTGAAGTTATTTATGTTACTGAGAAGGTTTAGTCACGCATTACATCTGATTCTTACCGGTGCATATCAATGTGCAGACTGTCTAGTAGTCACGAATATAAATTTCTTTGCACAGCTAACGATGCAGGTGCACATCGGCCAGTGTACGCTTATCTGCGGAAGTTTTCATGCTGAGACATCAACGTGAAACCACATAAATCACATTCAACAATCTACTTGAGTTTGAACTTAGACCGTTCTTTAAAACAGCTAGTGAAGAAGACGTCAAGGAAAAAATAGTGACAGTACTAAATAACACTGCTGAGACCGGGATGAACATATCGAGAACGTCTGCCTCGTTTTCGCCATTTACGAATCCATAGTCCTCCCTCGTCGATGCTCAGATGGAACAGTTACTGCTTCCAGAAGCTTATTATAGTAGATCTCTACGACTTCTTTTTAAATTTCTTGCACAGACACTTTCATATTCTCTTTCACTTCGTTTCAGGAAGGATGAATATATACTGTAAGGGGTTATCCACTTAATAGGTTTGTGAGAATGAACAACTACCATTCGACGAAGCAAGCGAGTTCGATGAGCTGTTATATTTCACCTCCATTAAAATAATGAATGTGTTCGATTCTCTCGATGCTGAAGCGGTAATATATAGGATAATGCCATTGTCTTGTATGACCACATCTGAAGACAAGAAAATTCTTTTACAAAACAAAAGTAGTTAACGTTTAGAATTTAATTATTACTTAACCACGGCATCAGCAAGAAGTGAATGGTCTTGCGAGACTGCATCATTTCGTAAAGCTACAATACGTAATCTTGGAGGACGCCATGCGAGTTAGAGAAAGGGTTGACAATGAATTATAATTCGTTGGTCATAGAGTATACTATTTCATCTTGGTTGATACCATCATTCCCAATACATCAAGATTTTATGACATGTGGAGGTGACGCTGAACACCAAGAAGGAGATATATGTTCGCGAATAACAATGAAAGAAGCAAGCATTTCCGACTGTTGCAAATATGCAGATATAATGGTCAATATAATGTCTTGTCTTTCTGTCTTGTTTCCGCAGCCTTGCAAGAGTAAGCCGACAGGTAGTAGGTTGGGAAGTCTCCAAGGATCCTGTGAACCAAGATGAAAAAGTTATAAGCAGACCGTTTTGACTATAAAATTTACGTGGTTGCGAAGGTGCGTATCGCGGTGGTAGTGAAGTCGTTCATGACAAACATGGTGTGGGTTCGCCGTAGTCAGAGAATTGGTAAGTTCCAGAGGTGTCTGGGAACAGCTCATTCCCTGAATTTTGAGAAAGAACGCCCTAGTGCAGCAATCTCGGTACTCCAGGTAGAATCGACACTATCAGCATTCAACAATATTCATAGAGAGGACGACAATCCTCAAGCAACAGCCTAACCTACACTAGAGAAGTTCTGAGACATTCGTGCATGACAGATCCGAGGAATTGAGTCGAATTTAAGAAATGCTGGGATTCGCTCAGTACATGTAAAGGACAGGTCGTGTAAAATAAAAATAAAAAATAATAACAAAATCGAAGTGAACGAGAAATATTAAACTAAAAAAGTAAAATAAGGTCATCAATAGAAATAAAATAAAATGAAATGCAACATAAAAATATAAAAATCAAATTAAATTCGTGTTACTAGTATTTGTCAGAGCTCGTCCTTCAACTGTTACCATTTCGGTTGCCTCCAACTCACTCCTATCGTCATCTTTTTTTCGTCAGTGGTTAAGCCCTTAAGGCTTTGCTATGACATATGCAAAATTTCACTGACAATTAGACTGTATATGTGAGTTAAAAACATGAGCACATAAGAGGCGAAAATAGGATCTCTGAGTGATCTGCGAGTGGCTTAATGAGTATCGCGTTCTATGGTTATTATAACTATAATGGTTCCTCCTGTTTCGGTCGTACTGCTCCATTATCCCTTTAATTGCTTCATAAGCTTGAAAAATGATAAGTCTTTAAAAGATTTATGGTGCGTAACAAATCATAGACATTGGAATGCAAAAAATTGGTTGCTATCAATGTTTCGACTAAGCTTGCTTTTATTTAGTAGACATTAAAATAATACAGAGGTCTTATTTACTGTGACCTTATGCATTCTAGTTGAATCAAAGTGGGTTAAAACGAAACCATGTTAAGGGCTTTCGATCTTGTAGTTCCATGGTATTCATCACAGCAGCTCAGTCAGTACCGCGCGGCTTTAGAGTTGAGCTTACCTTCTTTGTACAGCCTTGCTGGGTGTTATGCTGACGTTGAAAAATCTTCAGAATTTTTCAAGACATTAATTCTAAAAAGGAGTTGAGTTCCATTCTTCTAAACACGGAAAAGCTATCTAAAATTGCCCATTGAGTTTTCTTTTCCAAAAGACATCAGACCGGCTTCTTCCTCTGGTCGCTAAAACAAATCTCCAGATTCTTTGAACTAGAACTATTGTTGTCTACGTCAAAAGTCATCACTCATCTAAGCAGTCCGGGTTTCCGCAATACCATGTACGAATTCGTTTTGTTCCTCATTTTCCATGCGTTCACATCGACATTCACATTGACTAATGGTGTTTTATTGCTGCCATAGTTGGAATTAGACGATTAGCATTTGAATGAACAGCGAACAGATGCCATCACCTCCTTATTACTCTGTCATCTTCCTGATGGGTCAACCAGGCAAATGGAGATTACGGCAGCCGTTCTAGAATCACCTGTGCCCGAATTCTTTTTGTGCAATGTTGTTGTCACTCAAAACAGGGCTTATTTTGAAGAACTTCTTGCTTTTACATTGCACTCGCTCTTCTATTATGAGGAACGAACAAATGGAGATAATGCTAACTTTTTACTCGCTACCTACTATAATTTCCTCCCGGAAAGGGTAATAGCGCGTTCGTTCCTCACCGCAGACACCTCCGGTCCGGAGTTTTGCAAGTATTGTTGTTGTAACGGAGATAATTTTTGAAATTGTATGAACATAGCATGATACAAGCAGTGGCGTATTGAGATTCACTAGACACAACAAACAATAAATTTTAAAGCCTATGGTTTAACTCGCGTCGTTTAGCTAAAACGCGTGGGATATCACATAGGAACTAAGCGCCATTGATCAAATTTTTATTTATGGCTGAACTCATAAAGAGTACGATACTCTATCGAAACACAGAATGCATTGGCGAGATAGGTAGACCACTCTGCATCTGTATAAAAGAACATTTACTCCGTACACTTAGAGTTAAACCAAACGCTCCACTAGACCGGCATAGGATACAGAGGAATGGCAGAGAAAACTTTGAAGTAGAAGCTACCATTCTTGCACATGAATCGAAAACTTCAACGCGCAAACCCTCGAGCATACTGGGTAAACTTCAAGAGTCTAAAAATAAACAACAGGGAATAATGCCTCGATATCAGTCGTGATCTCACGTTCATAAGAAACCTCCTCAGTCGTTAATCACAATTGTAATTCTTATCATGCCACAGGTCTTCCTAAAGAGTTTCTTCTATTCTGCTGTACTCATTAGTACACTCTAAAGGTATGTGGGCATTTGAAAAACGGCAAGTATTGATTTATGCGAGAAGCAGCAAAGAGATGAAGAAAGCAGGGATTATTTTTTTTCGAAGAAATCTACTACTAAGCTCATGGTTTTCTTCTACAACCCTCTCTGTATTCTTTGCGTCTCTTCAACTTATAATTCTCTTCATCCTCCTACTAAGTGTAAAGCCCACACCACTGAAACACTGAACTGAATTTATCCATTCTTGGACATTTTAGTGACTTCGTTTTCCTATAACGTTCGAGCTTCAACACTTCTTCCCTTACATCCAACATGTATCGATGCTGTCAGGGTTTATGGATTCAATCGTGGCTCATGAGTTTGTCGTCCGCACTTTTCAGTGACGTGATAAGTGTTCGTCGAGTATAGTCTCCGCTGAAGTCGTCAGGTATACGGATTGTGGCGTCGGTGCTCACGCCTTCATCACATGCCGTCGGGTGGCCTTTGCGATCGGAGAAAAGTTTGTTGCCGTCCTGGAACCAGGATTCCCCTAGTGATCTTAGAGAAGGTTGAAATAACCATTGATTAATTGTAGGGTAAAACTACGAAACCTTCTAAGGTTCTAAAATGTCATCGCACAAAGTGTTTCCGTGATTCTCATCAATAATTTATTACCTCAGATTTTGTTTGTCGAAAAAACAGTGCAGCTTTAAGTTATGCGATTCAGATTCTACTGGAACTCATCATAGCTAAAGCATCATGCACATTAGCGCGCGACATGAACAGTGCGTTATCCTTCAATAATTTTATTCTTCGTCGCTTTGCTCTTCGTCTTTTGGAAGCGGAAGTGCCTCTTAATGGTACTGTCGTGCACTTTCATTCACGTATTCTTTCAATGCATCTCCAAATTATTTTCAACGCTTTCCAAAAGTCGGTCCAACTTACCAAAATAGGCCGTCCATTACGGCTACCCTACCATTCTGGAATCTTCGGCCGTCTCGCCACGTCTACATAGTATGTTCATCGTCATTCGAAGTTCTGCCTCTTTGGATCACAGGACCATTAAACTTATGATCTTGGAACAAATTCTTGGACGAGTTTTCTCGATTTTGGCGACAACACTCATGTCGTATTTGTTGGTGTAAAGAATTGCGGCAGCTGGCTTGTTCCTCAATGGCCACCCAATCTTGCGAGTTTTTCTTCCTCCTAAACACATTTAATGTTCGTCGTTAGAAGAACTCGTTGATGACTGACGAGTTGCAAATGGTTCCCAGCACTGAACTGCTTCACGTGTTGTACGGCAGAACTCAGCCAGGTTATGTGAATCCATTAAATTATGCAACGCTAGTGTTATAGAAATCTTTTCATACTGGTATTAAAGTTCAAAGTTAGAGAGGCTTTAAATAACTGACTGAACTAGATTGATTATTCAGAATTTTTGGCTGTTCTGTGATTTTCCCTTACTTTTTGAAGTTAAACTGCCATTAACTAACCGTTGTACTTCGGTCATCCTTCCATGACTATTTCCTCCAGTTTTTCCTCTTTATTTTCTCCATATTCGTCTTCTCCTCTCTGCAGTTGTTTTACGCTGCCGAACTAAGATTACGTTGTTTAACTTGTTCTCTTATTCTTGATTATCTTTTCTTATTGCTTTCTTTTATTGCCCATATAACATTCATTTCTGCCTATGTACCATACCGTATTTCCTTCGTGGTTTTAAATTCCCTACCGAATAGTTCGTTTCTTCATTATTTTTACCCATTCATCTGATGTCAACCAGGCTTTTTTTTTAACCGTTCGTTTAATTTCTTGTTCATTGTTTTGCAAAACTTTTCTTTCTACGTATGTTGTCCGTCTGCAGCACTCGTACTTACTCGAATCGTCTCCTGCTGTCTTTGCTCTCGTAACACTTCAACTTTCTCCGTTCATCCATTCATCGGTTCATCGGTTCATCGGTCCATCGGTTGTTGAGATAGTAGGTCTCTAGCTCTGCCCTCTTCGGCTGAGTCCGACGGGGGACGGGCACTGGTGCCGCCCGCCTCCCACTTCGTGACACTCCCGCTCCGACGTCGTAGACCACCTCTCCCTATGCGGCGGTGATCTTCATCATTTCCTTCAACGGTTATTATTCGCTACCGATTGATATGCTGATCGATTTCTCAACAGCGTTTTTATTCTTGATCGGCTATCGATGTTCAGCGCAGAGTTTTGACTCGAATAGCCTTCCGGGAGGTGAGCATTCAGAAGTTTTTTGCCAATAGCTTCATATCGTTTTAACAACTTTCATGCATTGTTTTGGTTGCCACCTTTTTTTACTTTACACATACTTTCGGCTTTTCAGTCGGCATGAGTTTCTATGTGATAGAAAGTCTTCGCCTCAATGTTCCGTATTGTGCTTGCGTGTGAAATGCTATCGGATTTTTTTTTGGATCCTTTACACATCTGTTTCTCAGTTTGAGTCAACCACAGACCAAAAATACATTGACGACCCCGTAGTGTACTTTTTTAACTTTACCTTTATGTGAATTATTTATTGTTTTTCCTCTTTGAAGCGCTTCACAACTTTCAATGACAACAAAGAAATGCCGCACGCAGTGCACGTGCGACACAGGCCTCGTTCCATTCAGGGCAATCGGGCTCTGATCAAAAGGTTTTGGGTTACAATTGCCATACAGCCCTCCGATGGGTTCGGTGCGAATTTCTAGAAGCAATTTCTTTAGGCAAAAGTTTTTTCCTTGGAATAACATTCTTGCGATTTCACGGAAGATTGAAATGAGTGATATGGACGAGTCGGTGAGCAGTTGGCAAGGCTGCCGTATTGCAGGGCCAGTAGTAGTTCAATCAACTCCGATTCCATGACTCGGCCCTGCTGTGATGTGCATTTCGCTCGGCTGACCTTCACCTTTTTGAAGAATTCTCTTCCAAATACTCAATAGAATCGAACTTTCGACGGAGTCCTCTGATTAAAATGAGCGGCAGAAAAAGTCTATACAACTGGCTTTTCTCCTAGTTGGTAAAAAAAATATTCCTGGATAGTCGGCTTTTGCATCTATTCATACCTTAAAAACTTAAGCCATTAATATCATTTTACTTTTGCTTTCGTATTTAACCTATGAAAGAACTGAGCAACATTGAACTCCAATCTCACCTCGATGGAATCTCGCTGGTCCGTTCCTTTCCCACCCCCCTTCTTCTGTAGTAATATTTTATCGTTTTTCTCCTTGTCACAAAAACCTAAAGGAAGTTGGTTATCACTTTTCTTTGCTACATACGTTACAGTTTCCAACAAACACTTTTTTGCGTATTTGTAGATGAAAGTAGGTGGATATGAACAGTTTAAAAGGTAAGGGTATATGGACACATATGATTAAATAAGTGAATAAATAAAAAATGCGTAAAAAGAATGTTTCGATCAAAATGGTTGTTTTACTCTTTATTTTTTTCTCCTATAACAATACGAAATGTGACCTCAAAAAAAGAACACACATACACAACGGCCGTTGACGCAGACAACGACGAAGTAGTCGGTGGTAGCTGTAAGCAGTCCGCCGCCAGTTGAACGTTCTTTGGCGGCAATCAAGTGAACCGTCATCGAATATTCGACTATTCGAATATTCGAATTCGTAGTAAATTTCCATATTGAAAGTTTTCATAAAAATCACTATCATGACTAATGGACACGTTTTTCTTTTTTGTGAATGCAGTTATTTATGTGTTTATCAGTTCCTACAACTCATCAGATTCACGGGTTTTAGCGTAAGCGTTTTTATAGACGTTGATAGTTAGAAGCATTCACGCGGTTCGGTCACTGGGAACGGATATGAATGGACCGAAACCGCTATAAATAATAATAAATGCTACCGGAAAGGTTGCGTCAGGCATAATCTGACGACTCTTTGCCCTCATTTCCACAGATTATTGCCAATATTGTTCATCCATAGATGATTACAGTTTTTCGAGAGGTTGGCCACCTTCAACAACAGTTGAAATGCTTCTCATAAGAGGTTTTCTGTATCCGTACGAAGCAGAAGTGCTTCGTCATTCCATATCCCATCACTCGAGCGTAAATAGTTATGTATAACACGTCTTTCATCAAATATATGAAAGAAAGGACACGCATGGTGCGGTGGTGAATGCGTTAGTCCGGGGAAAGGGTAATAGCGTGTTCGATCCCCAACGCAGACCGTGGGCACCTGCGGTTACAATTTACATTATAGCCTGCCATAAAAAAGAATAGGCAGTAAATGGAAAGTGATTACTCTATTTGAAAGAAAGTCGATTTTAAGTCAGTTTTGTGCTTCATTCGGTCTCGTTAGTCAAAGCGTTGATGATAAGGCCAAAACGAATTTCAATACCTACGAGCTATAATCACTTGAAAGATAAGCGATCACGCAAAGCCAACCAAGTTACATAGTCGTGTCACAGTATTCGTATGTTTCATAGAGGACTTTCAATCCGTAAAGAGACCTGGTTAGCTCTTTATTAAGCTGAGATTCTTTAAAGCGATAACAGCCACTATTTCCTATCATTCATTCCTTCATTGCCTTATTTCTATTGCGAACCTCACTCATAACCTATATTGCCCTTCATTGTTGAATTTGTTCGACTGGAAAATACCAAGAAAGTCAAAATTGCCGAAAATAGTTTGTCAAAAGCTACTTTGGTTGTTTAATATATAACATGGTGTCAAAATGGCTACTATCATGTGTTACAATATTCACAGTAACGGCAGTGACTACGACAGCAATGGTAATAATAATAATAGTAATAATAATAATTGTAATTACAATTACAATAACGATAATAATAGTAATAGAAATAGTAAAGTGGAATGATTAAGGACGTAGCTTAATTGAGGAGACTATTTCCTCGAAATCCTGAATTACCTATGAGTGGGCTCCTCGAAATAGTCACCACAGACAATTTCCGTTCTGTAAGAACGGACGATAGGAGGAGATTTTGCTGGCTTGCGACTAGGTTTAATTCATTGGAGGTGGTGAGGTTGGGTGGATCTCTCTTGCATTTTGCAACTGGTGACTCAGGAAGATCCACTTGCCAAAGTGATTGATAGATGTGGTAGTATTTAAAACCTCAAAACGTCAGCGAATTTGATGAATGATAAAGACATCAGTAGAGGGTGTAAAAATTAGCGAGCAAATCACTAATACCATTAAATAAACTGTCTAGAAGTGTATTCGATCGTCAGATTGTGGGCTCGGTCTCTGAAAGGAATTAATGGAGAGGTTCGTGATTCTGAAACGGTTTTTCCTTTATTTTAACTTTTATTTGCTGTCTTTTACCATAAAGTTCGCATTCTACCCTGCAATGAAAAAAGAACTACTTTACTTTGTTATTTCACACGACCCGTCATTACATCTGCTGTGCGGATCTCAGCACTTTTTGCATCCGATTCGTTTTCGTCACATTCATCGTCCACAAAGGCCTTCGAACACTTCGTGCATTGTTCCGACTGGTATTCGAGCATTCCGCCTTCTTTATGAATCTTGCAGAATGCTGGTCGAGTCGATTCTCTTTGCAGTCTTGAAAATATCCGAACTGAAGTATTGTCACGTAGATTGAAGGTGGGCGTAGGGAGGGGATCGAACCAGCACCTTGCTTTTTGATGGATTGCATGACTAACCACGCTGCTACCTCCATCCATGTGAAGAGACTAAGCAATAAAGAGATGTAATGAGATTGTGATTTCGACTGCAGCTTCAGCTGAACTAAGTTTAGTGCCAATTTGTGTTCCCCAGATCATACCCGTTGATAGAGGATTGCTGATGGGATCGTTGGTGTAAGAAACTGCCCGAGAGAAAGACAAAGCAAGGGTCTCGTTAATGTGTTGGATAGCATATGTGCACTCGGCAAGAATAATCTCGGTTTCGAAACCCAACTGAGGTTTCGAATTTTGCTCATATCTCAGCATCCTTGTGGTTATAGTTTTTCTCTGTTAGATATTGTTATTGAGCACATTTTTTTAAGATCATGTGTCATCACACAGTGCCCGGATCTCAGTACTTCTTCATTTCAATTCGTTTTTTTTGCTATTCTCTTTCTTCCTCGGCGAGAGTCCTCTGATTTATATGTTGCTTCGGCTGCTTAGGGATTTTTGGATTTTCTTCATAAGTAATTTGCTATTTTCCTAACTAGGGTGTACTAGGTTGTTATTATGTGCTATTTATTCATATCACCTGACGTTTTGGCGGATTTGACCTTTTTATGAATGTCATTGAATACTGGTCCAGATGAGTGTCCTTGGAATTCTGGAATGGTTGTGCTGATTCGTTTCCAGATTTTAGCACAGCCACTTGCCTACCTTTTTGAATAGAAAGAAGCTCTTCACAGGCAATTATGACGCCTTTTTTAACTTCAATGGAATGGGACCCTTGGTTCATCCCTTCGGAGTCGAAAGGGATCCTGGCCGTATTGAATGGTTTCACCATTATTGTGCTAACTGCGCCCTATGAATAATACTAGATAAGAACTACACACTTTGAATAAATTGCTAGCTGTCGCTTCATGACGGATTCTAGAAAAAATTCATAGATGATTTCGTTACCCCAGAAGATTTTGATTAGTGCGGATTAAGTTTTTACTATGTAGATCTATCATTTGAGATCAGATTCCTTAATAGAACATGGTTTCGAAGGACCAGTAAAGCTAGCAAAACCGTTTCGAGCTTGTCAAGAGATTTGTTTTTACGAAATGAGCGAAATGAAAATTCTTCGGCCTTTAAGATTAGAGGCCCCCCCGGCCCCATTCACAATCGTTTTTGGTTATAGATTAACCAAGGAAGTGAATTTGGATTTTTTCTATTAATTGTAGACGAAATCACAGGCAATTCACTGACTTCCATAAATAGAGAACCTGACTGACTTGCTAAGTAGGTTGAACCGTCGATGGCGCGCATGAAGAAAATCCTTATTGCACAGCATTATTAATCATCACCGTCGTTCCTCTCCTTATATCGTCAACATAATCCTACGGACTGTTTCGAGTTAATGTTGACTTCAATAGCTTTAGATCGATGAGTTCGTCGAAAACGTAAGCTTAGTAATCTCGCATCCATGTTGCCAACGCACGACGATTTAGTGTCAGCTCTTCCTTTCGGTGTTGTGTTGAATTGCTCTTTTTCATGTTTAATGACAGCTCAATGGTGACTTTAATGATGCAATTACAAATCTAAATGGTACGGAACTCAATAATTGGTCAAAACTGGTTTTTTGCGGTGATTTGATTTCAGCTAGGATTGTGCGAAACGTGAACAACACGCTTTATGTGAGAAAGTCGACCTCAATTCCTCCGTACGAGATCATTGTTTTCCTAAGGAAAGATGACTTAGTCACATGGTCGTTTCCACACTGGACTTTACCTTAGGTCAAAGATTCGTGAAAAACTATAGATGCAACTATACTTGTAAATAGAGCACAAACATAAGCGATCCATGTGTTATTCAACTTTACTATGAGGAATATGACGTTTTATAGCTGACCTTTGTTTAGAATTTTCACAAAAGAACAGCCAGGAATAGGTTTTCTTTTGATGGATGGCTCATCCATTGTGGATTATCGCGGAAGGGTAGATGCACTGATAGGGGTGTAATTGGCTTGCGAAAACTTCGACTTCTCTGATTGAGCGAGGTGGTTTCTCCAAACTCAACCAAATGGAAAATTCGTATAGAGACTGGCATGACTTTGACGCTCTCGCTATATAGTTTTCGCTACAAACTCTCCTGTCATTCTCATCAAAGAAGACGACGATGTCGGTCGTCCATAAGCCGCCATATGGTGCTTCTTTCGGCTGAAACCATCATGCCAACTCCTCTGGTGCTCTTTCTTTTTCCCTTCTTCTTCGATTTGAAATGCTTGACTGAAACCGCATCACTCATAGGCAGTATTTTCATGAATCGAACAATCGAGCAAAGTATGTAGTCAAAACAAATAGAATAAATTAATGAGTCAACACCCTGAATAAGTAACTGAAATAATGAAAAGAGGAACGATGAGCTTCATAGCTTTGGATATGAGGACAGTATTATTGCAACATTGTAACGCGGTGACAAAAATAACAAGCGTCTTTGAAATATTTCATCTTTCACCACGAAATTACAACTACGCATTCCTAATGCTGGACTTCGCCCTCTAGCCATTATTCCAGCGGCAAAGAGCACTAGGATTATGACGAATTCGTGGTTCGAATATTCGAATGTAAGGTGATTATTCGAACGATAGTGCGCCAAACCGGTTCAAATATTCGAGTGTGAGAAAGACATATCCATTTGGTTATTCTAAAAGATTTCATAGAGCACCAATCTTAGTTTCCAGCAAAGAACTGCTTTGCGTTGGTGTGAATACAAATTCGGTCGTTTATAGAAGCCATTTTTGAAACAAGACGCAGTCGCAAGCAGACGACAATTTTGCTGGAAATACGTTCCTAACGTAACTAAAATTTTCTTCCCTTCTCGTACTGAATCTTTCCCACCACGTTGTTCATCTTCCACAGTGAAAGCACTTCCGTGTCTGTGTTGCAAAATCATCTTATAAGTGTAAACCATTGCAGAAATCACTTCTAAGTCTCAATAGACTCGGGATAAGTTTCCCAAACAAAGCATAATTTAATTTTAACTTGACAATCT